GCAGAAAGGAAACTTTAAAAATGCTCGCCTTGCTCAAAACTATAGACCAAGTCAAAATCTCATATTGTAAATCCTCCATCACCTTCTTGCATCTTTCATCGACTCATGCCAGCTCCCCTGAAATTTGACTCTTTCCAGAGACTCAACACAAACGATATCTCATTCTAAGCTTTCTTCTACGATACCATTCCTACCACTATTACATTTTGCTGTAGACAAAACATGACTAAACCAGAGCTCCCCCTTTTTAACGTTTGTTTTTCCTTTTCCTTACTAACCGATGTAATAGTCTTATTTTGAAAACAGGCTACCAGTTACATATACCCATTGTATAGTGAATGTAAATGTAGTTTTAACTGAAATTCAAAATGAAAAGTTTCCATATTATATATTATATATTATCTTTGATTATTGTTTCTGCTCGAGATCTTACCGGGGGGTTACTTACCCGTTTTTCTGTGATTGTGGTTTAAATTGAGTAAAGAGTTCAATATAATCAGAGAACAAAGACCAGGTGACCTTTAAGCCTATAAGTATTGAAGAGCTCTCACTTTCCGGCAAGATCTGGCAGTGTTATGAAGTTATAGAAAGTTATAAGATTTAAGGAGAAATAACAACTGCAAATCCTCTGTTCTAAAGCTATGCTTTCAAAATAATGCTCTCGCGAGAGATTCTCCACCATTTTTACAAACATGTTACAGAGAATTTGGAACTCAGAAAGTCTGGTGAAAGGCAGTTGAAATGTACATTGTATGACAACAAACAGCTCACACCTTCTTACACGCGAGCACGAGGATTGACTTAACGTTTTCAGATGTTATAGGTCCAACAAGGGTGCATTTCTCAATTAAGATTTGAATCATCCCCAATTCACATCAACCAATGCACGTAAACCCTTAATGGATATGGAAAAATCGGAAATTGCTTCAACAATATATGATATGAAACTTCCTTGGTTTAGAAATAAGTGCAACGCTACCTGCAATAAGTCCGTACCAATTTTGGGTGTCAATCAGAATTGGCCAGATTCTGAAGAATGCAGAAACTAGATTTTCCCATTGAGTCAGGCAAGGAAAGGCTGGAGTAATTATTAAAAGTGAATTTTTATGAAGGTGCCCACCTTCAGAAGTTGCTACATTCAAACAGACAGTTAAACGAGATTTTGCAAAAGCAAACAATTGCCATTCAAGGCCCCTTTCTCTGCATACGAGCAGTTTGAAATCTCCCGTCAATTTTTTACAACTGGAAAGTAAGTGATTTACTGTGAAAGTTGCCTAAAAGCACGTTGAGATCTACTTCCAACAAACTCACACAAAGCAATGTATGGAATGGTAATAATAATAATGAAAACTTTTCATTTTCAATTCAATTAAAACTACAATTACAAATCTCACTATTACAAGGTAATTTGCAATTGGCTAGCCTGGTTTTACAAGAAAAAACTATAACAATCGTAAGGTAAAAGGAAAAACTGAGAAAAATAAAATAAAGAACGAAAGTTAAAAAGGATGTAATTCCGGATTTGTCCATGGCTTATTTTTGCAACATAATATCTAGTACGTAGTACGGATGGCAATGTTGGAAAGTTTAGAAATGAGATACCGTTTTTGTTGCTGATCGATGGAGAGAGAGTCACACATTTTGAAGAATGGAATTGCCGAAGATGCCAAGAGAGCTCATAGAAAGATTAACAAAGGAGACACATTTGAACTGCCGCTGTAAACCAGATGAGAGAGGAGCATACTTGCTGTGTTTTCTTGTTGCATTAGTGTCAAGATTGGATTCGAAGCCAACAGTTAGCTCTAAAATGTAGAGGTAATTGTTGTTAGTCCTCAACAGAAGATTAGGGCGAAGGTTTTCTCCAGTTATGATTGATGGTGAAAGAAAGCCAGGTATATCAGCGTAGATGGTAGATTCATTAACAGCTTTTAGTGACGTAGCTAGAAAGTTTAGGATAGAGTTATGTCTCCAGGTGTATCGGCCTTGTTCCAGATACGTTTTGCAGCCAGCAACAACGTGAAGGAGGGTTTCTGGCAGAAAACAGAAAGAGCATTCAGAGGTCTGGCTCAAGTTCCATTTTTTCAGGTTTTCTGTGTGGCAAGGGTATTGTTCAGTCAGGTACCTTATGGTGAAATTGAAAATATTCTGAGGCATGCTACTTTGCACCTTGGACCAAAGTTTGTTTATTTGTGGAAGATTCTGGTTAAAGAGATGTGATAATAAAGATCCTTGGGAGGTTAGGATGTTTTGCAGACGATCTTTATGCTCATGCTGGACAGCCTTTAATGCTTCTTTGGTGTTCCTATATATATCATATTGTATATTTGTGCCAATGCTGGTATTTTTCCATAAAGAGCGAATGTTATCGTTTGGTGAAGATTTCAATGCGTTTCGTAAAACTGTTTGACACTGTAGGAATTTGGTGGATGGTAAAGTTAGGCTGAGTCCAAACTGGTTTTTAGAAAGAATAATGCTACTCAAGGTAGCACTTATTGGGAGGTCGAGCCACTGGCGGATGTATTTGGCGGAAAATAATAATAATAATAATAATAATAATAATACTAATAATAATAATAATAATAATAATAATAATAATAATAATATACAAACAAACAAACTGATCAGTGCTGTTGCATTGTATGTTGCGAGGAAACTAGGCATAGGGAAACCAAAGATAGAAAATAAGACAAGAGAACCATGGTGGAAAAGAAGAATAAGCGAATCTATTAATGAACTTAGAAAGCACATTAACATACTTGAGCGCGAAAAGAGAGGTGAAGTATCGAAGAAAGGGAAATACCATGAACTGTCAAAAAAGTATAACATCACGAGAAAAGGAATCTCTACTGTAATTGAAGAGTTGAAACAGAGAATGCAAGCCAAGGCTTTCAAACTAAGAAGGTACGAGCAAAGGACGCGACAATACCAAATTAATCGAATGTTTCAATATGACCAAAAGAAGGTATATCAACAACTACAGGGTAAAGACAAAAGAGAGAATACAACACCAGATGCAGATGAAAGTACAAAATTTTGGTCGAACATATGGGACAACGAAACACAGCACAATAAAAAGGCTAAGTGGTTAGAGGAGTTAAAAAACAACAAACCTAATCTATCACAAAATGACATTGAAATAACAACTAGAATGGTAAATCAGCAAGCCAAGAAGATACCTAACTGGAAAGCTCCTGGCCCTGATGGAGTCCAGGGGTTTTGGATAAAGAAACTTACATCTCTACACGAAAGAATTGCTGCCCAACTCAATGATTTGATAAATGATGAAATAGAAATACCCTCGTGGATGACCACCGGCAGAACTGTGCTATGTCAAAAGGATCCAAAAAATGGCAATGCAGTGGATAACTATAGACCCATATCCTGCTTGCCATTAATGTAGAAGCTGTTGACAGGAATCATCTCTGGAAATGTCTACACGTTCTTGGATGAGAATGAGATGTTACCTGAAGAACAAAAAGGCTGTAAAAGAAATAGCAGGGGTACAAAGGATCAGCTTCTGGTGGATAAGACGATTCTTGCTGATTGTAAAAGGAGGCATAAAAACTTAGTCATGGCGTGGGTTGACTATAAGAAAGCCTACGACATGGTTCCCCACAGCTGGATAATAGAATGTCTAAGGCTCTATAGAGTATCAGACAATGTTGTTAACTTTATAGAAAGATCGATGACCAACTGGAAAGTACAACTGACATCGTGTGGGGAAACTCTAGGGCTTGTAAATATTCGCAGAGGAATATTCCAAGGAGACAACCTATCACCACTTTTGTTCGTCATTTGCATGATACCCCTTACCGAAGTCCTCAGAAAAGTCAAAATGGGATATACATTGGATGGTGTTAAGATCAATCACCTGTTGTTCATGGACGACTTGAAGTTGTTCGCGAAAAACGAGAATGAAATTGACAGTCTAACATCTACTGTCAACCTTATTAGTCAAGATATAGGAATGGAATTTGGGATAAAAAAGTGTGGTGTTGTGACCTTAAGAAGGGGAAAATTAACAGGAAGTGCAGGGATTGAACTTGTCAATGGGGAAAAGATCAAGGAGGTTGGTGAAGAAGGATACAAGTATCTGGGAATAACAGAGTTGGATAGAATAAAAGAAGAGGAGATGAAGAAAATATTTCAAAGAGAATATTTCAGAAGGGTTAGACTTATCATGCAGTCAAAACTCAATGGAAGGAATAAGATTAAAGCAACAAATACCTTGGCAATCTCCCTGATGCGCTATGGAGCAGGAATAATTAAATGGAGAAAAGACGAGCTAGAAAGTATGGACAGAAGAACCAGGAAATTAATGACAATGAGTAAAGAACTTCATCCTAGAAGCGATGTAGCAAGAATTTATGTTAGCAGGAAAAAGGGTGGTAGGGGGCTGATAAGTTGTGAGTATTGTATTGAAAATGAGACAAACAACCTGGCTTGGTATGTGAAGCATGCTAGAGGCAATATTATGTCAAAAGTGAGAGACCTTGGGGCAATGAATACTGAGGAGGCAGTAGCACCGAATGAACATAAGAATGAGACAAAAAGGCGCTTGGAGAAACGATGGAAAGATAAGCCGATGTATGGGCAATTTACTAAGAATACTGACGGAATTGATTGGGAAAAAAGCTGGTCATGGTTAAGGAACGGAGATCTGAAAGGGTGCACTGAAGCATTAGTGTGTAGTGCACAGGAGCAGGCGCTGCGCACTAAATATACCAAGCACTACATTGATAAAACAAGTGATACGCCTTTATGTAGAATGTGCGGTGACAAGGGAGAAACAGTTAGCCATCTGGTGAGCGAATGTGCTAAACTGGCACAGACAGAATATAAAAGACGACATGACAATGTGGCAAGGTATATTCATTGGTTGTTAGCGGAAAAGTGCGGATTTGAAAGAGCCACAAAATGGTATGAACAGAAACCTGAAGGAGTTTTAGAGAATCACAAGTTTAAGCTACTGTGGGATTTTATGATTCAATGTGATAGGGTTGTTGAAGCTAGAAGGCCAGACATTGTTGTCGTTGACAAGGAAAAAAAGGATGTGAAGATAATCGATATTGCCATTCCTGGTGATAATAGGGTAAAAGGTAAAGAACAAGAAAAAACTGAGAA